CGCGCGCGCTGCCTTAGTGCGGGGCACGCCGGGCGGGTTGGTTCTATTACCCGCTCCGTTCTCACCCACCAGGTGCAAGACTCAGAAAGGGCATAGCGAACGCCTCTGGGGCCTGATGTGAAAGAATGAATCATTGGTAGGACTGTTGAGAGCGGAATATATTGAAAGCGGCCCCGTCGGCCGTCATCTTTGAGCGGGGCTCTAGTTCCGACTCTAGTCTCAAAGGAAGAGGCTGAAGACCTAGTTGCTATGCAACGCTCACGCTGTCCTTTTTTTTTTTTTTTTTTCTAACACAGGTTTTCAGTGAAGTTCTTTCTGGAGCAGGGAGATGGGGGTGATTTGGCAACGCTTTAAGGTTGCCGTCAACTCGGAAGGCTTTGCAGCTGTTTTCGTTTTTCCACGCCCCACCCCCAACCACCGGAAGCCAAACTCCAACCCAAGTGGAGGTTGCCAGGCAACACTTGATAGTTGTCTTCTGGGAGCGGGGCCAGACACTGGCCTAGAACCTAAGTACATTACAGCTGAATTAAAAATGTAAATGCAACAAGTGAAACCATAATAAATATCTGAAGGAATAAAGAAACACACTATATAATCCTGAAGACTTGGGGAAAGTTTCTTACCGTTACAGCAAAGCCAGAAAACGTAAAATATTGATTTGTTCGCAAAACAAGTTGGGAAAAAAAATACGATCAACTGGGAAAGTCAGTGTCACTTACGTGTTGACAGAAATGTACTACATAAATACATCTTACCAATAAATAAAAACTTAGGAAAATAGAAATACTTTTATTTTTTTCATGGGAAGGATTATAAGCAGGCTTTTCTCACACAAAGTAAAATAGCAAATAAAAAAATTGTTCATGTAAAAAGTGCTAATGGAAAGTGCAATGATATAGCATTTTACTTTGTCACGTTAATTCACCCTGGAAAGAGTAATGTCCATGGGGCTGGTGTAATCAGAAGGTTCAGATATGGTCCAGTGCAGGTGCCAATCAGGTCAACTTGTTCCAATGCAGATTGTAAATATTTGTTAAAATGGTGCATATCCTTTGCACGTCGCAGGATCACTGTTTTGTCACATTTATGTTATCCATTCCTTCTTTTCTATTTTCTTTGCTGAAGCCTTTTAAGTCCCCAACATCATATTTTACCTCTTCAGGCTTAACTGCCATCTCTAAAAGCTGTATTTTTTTTTTTAACATAACCACTTTGCCATTATCAGACCCTAACAATATTTCTTAGTTTCATCTAATTTCCTCAATTATCTCAAAATATATTTTTTAAATTGCCGTATTTGCATCAGAATCCAAAGACTAAATGCATAGACATTATATCTCAATTTTCATCTAAATTGGGCTCCTCCTTTTTTATGCCAGTGTGATTCAATTTTTCATAAAATTACTAGAAAGATTTTAAAAAGGAAAATGGAGAAAGGAAAAATGATCCACAGGTAAAAAGATTAAAATGGTACCTAAAATCAAAATCTGCCCTCTTAACTATAAGAAAACTTTTACTTAGATAAGGTAAATGTAAGACTGGTTGAATGAATGATTTTTAAACTGGTGGTCTTCAAGAATCCTACCCTCCCCCAAAAAGACAGCGAATCAGAAATTAATTTTAAAAAAGAGAGAGAGGTTGGAGTAGAATTGTCTGCTGGAGGTAGGAGGCTACACCGGAGTTACCAAGAGCCTGAAGGCAGCTGTGAATTGGAAAACTCAAGGTTGGTTCTCCCACCCTAGCTGGTTTGGCTCAGTGCTTGCAGACTGAATGGTCCCGGGTTCAATTTCGGTCAAGGGCACATGCCCGGGTTGCCAGCTCAATCCCCAGTAGGGGGCGTGCAGGAGGCAACCAATCAACGATTCTCATCATTGATGTTCCTATCTTCCTCTCCCTTCCTTTCTGAAATCAATAAAAATATATTTTTTTAAAAAATTGGTTCTCCCACTAAGCAAAGGCCTTCTTCCAGGGCAGCTGAATTCGTTCCAAATTGGTAATACTCCTGACAATCTGCAGAAATAACAGCAAAGGCTCAGGACTCAGATCAGCATTAGCACAGTGATCATATTTGTGAAAACGTGTTATTTTGTTAAACTCTCAACTTTTTACTTTGGAGAAAGGATTTGGGGAGGAGTATTTGCACATTCTGCACGACACACTATCCTATAAATTCATCACAAACATATTTTTGTGATTCTGTTAAGGGATTTCATCTTCCTTTTTCTCCTAACAAAAACAACCATCTCATTTGGTGGTTACTAGGCAACACTTGCTGGATCAAACCATCCTGGAGGGGGAAGAAGGAGATGGTGTTTTTCTCCATTTTGCTCTAAGGAAGGGTGCTATAGAGATGCCTCACGAGGCTATATTTGAGCTGTTTACAGCTTTAGGATGGGGATTAGGCTGATGGGTGGTTGCTAGGCAGCACCTTGGCACCAAGGCCACCTTTGAGCAGAGCACAGCTGTTTATCAATTTACCCACTTGGTGGTTGCTAGGCAACGCTTTGGCCTGGTCACTGCCTTCAAGTCAGGCTCTTCGGTAAATAAATGAAGTAAAACTGTTACCTGAGGGGTGAAAGTCCTCTTTTTGAGGACCCCAAGCTGGGTTCTTTTTCCCTTTGTGTTATGAAGCCAGTAAGAGACCGAAAGTATTAACAGTGCGCAAACTTTATTCAATGAACGAGCAAGAGCTTAGCTCTCAAATCGGCTTCTCCTCCCAGGATCCAGGAACTGTTGATACTCAGAAGGGGTTGGGGAGGCATCAACGTTTTTCCAGATTCTGCCTTTTTTCTGTCCTTTTGTGGTTCCTTCCATCGTTGTCATGGTGACTGTCCATTATCATGGCACCTGTGGGTGTGTCACTTAGTAGGGACTTTATCAGATTTCTGGTCTCTGCAGGTCACTTTGGCAGCCACCTTCTCTTAGATGTATTTTTTTTTCCTCCTCAATTACAGTTTACATTCAATATTATTTTGTATTTTTAGTTTTGAAAGGACAGAACAGGACTGATAGCTGTGTCCTTAACCCCTCTTCCAAGAAAAAGCCGCAGAATGTATCAGTTACTCAGCCTGCCCTTATCTCGGCCAATGGGAAAGTGGGGAAAACTAGCCCAAGGCCAAGAGTATGCTAGC